CATTATGATACACATGCACCAGGAAGTGAAACAAACACATTCACGTGCAATGCATTTACAAGTAGTCACATCAGCGCAGTGCAAGGGCGAAATTGCAAATCGAATACACGTGCAATGCTTTCAAGTGTCCAACTGTCGAAGGAGGTATCAAGGACTTTCTGTGGAAGCGCATTCACTGCCGAGGGGCGAGAGCAGTTGTGAGGGCCAAAGATGCAATCCTTGGAAATACAGTGATCGAACTGATTCAACAGTCGTTTGTGCATGTTCGTCCCCCCCCGGGCTCGCTCTCTCTCTCTCTCTCTCTGCATCACTGGTGATTAAAGAAAATCTCCCACAAACTGCGCAAGGGGCTGCCACCACTGTGTTTCAAGTATTTTTTCCCAGATGCCGCCGGATTCTGTCTGTCATCGGTTTTAACGTTTCAGCATGTGACAATTGCCAAGCAGCTCCTTAGACGAAGCCGTTGTGTACAACCGTGCGAAGCTGACCCACTGCAGCGGTGCCTAAGGTCCCATCAAATGAGAACGAACAAAGGAACACAAGGACGGCGGACCCAGAAACAACAATGATATCGTGGGCTACCAGAGAGAGGAAAAAAAGACGCAACGCTGCTGCTTCACCCCTTCACTACCGTGATTATTGCTCTCACGTTCTCCTTGTGCTGTTGCCTTGACATGGCACCTGCAAGGTTGGGACTCCAAGGGACCGGTGTCTCTCCAATGCTCAACGTCCAAATGACTTCGGATGCAAACGACCAAATTGTGTCCGTTCCAACTTCGAAGACAATCCATTTTGCAGTCGCCAAGACAGGTGACGCTTGTAGCCAGCATGTGCAGCCAAATCAATTGGTCATGTTTGGAGCCAAGCTGCAAGTAATGCCCAAAGCCTGAAGCGGAGCAACACAGGTAACATGAAGACTCGTCAAAGACCTCATCTCTTGAATGCGATCTTGCTCCCATATGCTCTCTTCAAGGAGGAATTGCATTTCCACAATGCTACAATACCATATGCGTGGCTGCCTGACAAGCTACTTATTAAATTACTTATATAAGAAGTTTAAGCAGCAATCTAATTAGGAACCAAATCATTGGTGCGAGCGCTATCTTGCGCCCAGTTACTAGAAGATCAAGTATTGCTAGTAGCGAACAAGTTTCTCCCTTACTTAATTAAGTAGGCGCCTACTTAATAAAGTAAGGGCGGGCTTTAAAAAGGTTCAGGCATGCTATTGGAATCGAGGTGCATGTACCGCCCCATCAGCCGGAGCTCTTCAGCACCTTAGTGTGATGCGCTCAAGCCTTGCAGTTTTGCAATGTTTTGCCCTTCAAGTGCACCAAGAACACCAAAGCCTAGACTCCTAGACGCAAGAGACGCAAAACGAAAATCCGGGTGAAAATCTACATCTACGGAGATCTACGGAGCGCTCCTCCGAAATGACCTGAACTTATCAAGGCACCTGTGAGCCAGTTGGACTGGCTGACCAACAAGTGCTGTGAGTTGTCCAAGGCCAGATGCAAGTAACAACCTGAAAGTGGGAAGTGGCAACAGGCGCAAACTGGAGGTGCTCTCATGCAGTGAACGCACAAACTCAATTTGCAGCAGGTGGCCGCAGCAAACTAGGCTCACAAAGGACATGATCCAAGACACCTTCCGCAACAAACAGTTTGAGACAGCTGGAGGCATCAGAACTTGAGGTGGTTTGGTAGCGATGATGTGGCAGTTTGACTTCCACACCCCTCCTCGCGCATGCGTCGCATCAACTCCATATCTTTGATGCCTTTGGCGAAGAGGCGCAACTTCCAGATCCAAAGCTCACTGAAACAACGCAGTGTTCATTTGCAGAACTCCAGCTGTCTGAGCCAAAAACCCTGATCCCTACTGATCAGGATTGGCAGCACGGAGCATGAGATCAATGAGGCAACCAGGAACCTTGGACGCGAGGTTTGCCGACACTTTGTCTGGGACAGCCTGAGGCAATCTTGCATGCTGAGCAAATTTGCAGCTGAGCAACTCACCTCCGAAAAAGGTAGCTGCAACTACATAAGGCCTGGGGATGCGTGACGCCATGTGAAACAAACCACGCACATTGCGTTGTGGACCTTGGCCAAAAATCCACCGAGTCTCCAAGTTGTCCATTCCCTTGGAAATATGTGATTACTGACGATAGAGGCTGGTCTCCACCTTGGCGAGCGTGCAAAAAGGATCAAAAAGGGACGTGCTGGGCACTGCAGGCACGCCTGTTGCATGAGTCATTGTAAGCACGCGGCACCTTTCTCAGGTTGAGAACCAGAACTATCATCCCTGCTGCCTGCGCAACGCCAACTTTAGCATGCTCTAGTGACTCTAGTCACGCACTGACACCCTGCAGTTTTCCTTTCGCCTCAAAATCTGTACTTCAAACATCTTTAGTGAACAAATAAAAGGATATTAAAGGACGTTTTTCCCCTAACAACTTTTTACTACATACGGTTCATCCAGCCTGCAAGAGTGCAAGAAGCGGCTGCACACATCGCCTGAGCCAACAAACACCCCTGCCGCCTCGGCGGCCCTGTTTCAGCCATGCAATTTCCAAGGAAGCGCTGCTCCAAATTCTCTCCAGCCTGCGTCTTGCCAGCCTTATGCCTAACGCATTTGGCAGCATGCTGGCTTCTAGTGCGCGCCCTACCCTGGAACCAAAATGCACCAGCAACCGCATCTCATAATCAAGGAGCACTGCAACTGGAAAGTGACAACTACGCTAGCTATTTTAATTTTTGGCAGTCACTGTGTGTGCCCCCGGCGGTTTCACATCTCGGTGGATAAGGTCCTTCGAGTGAACGTATGCCAAAGCCTGCAAAGACAAGCTATGTCACATGTTTTCCGAACCAATTCTCTGGTCTGATCTGTCACTCAATGTGATCTGTTGAAAGGCTTCAATCAACCTCTGAGCTTCCAGCGTCAAGAACCTGGCGAAACCTCATTCACAAATTTGTTTCATTCCAATGTCATTTCATAATGTGTGATTGCTGTGGAACCTTGCGATTGCAGCACGCCAAACACTTCGAAATAGTTGCTGGTGGGTAGCACGTTGGCAAGACAATTCAAGCCTTCGGAACCTGCTGAAATCCGACTTTCTCTAAGCTGCAAATGGGGGCAGTTGTCAGTAGACTAGGGTAGACTACCAGGGTGTCGGGGAGTCTGATCCCTGGACAGATTCGTCGAGTGGCAATTTCCAAATCAATGCCTCATCCTTCTGCAGCTCTCCACTGATGATGGCCTGAGAGCTGCATTCAGTTGCATTCTATGCGCAAAACTCTAGACTCTATACACAAACAGACCTTCACAAAACTCTTTCATGAACTTGTTGCAAGAAGTTTTTGGTTGTTTATCTGTCTTTATCCTTTTCAACTTGCAGCTCATTTTTTGCTATCCAATGCCTCTCGCAGCGTCGTTCCGTCGCAAAACTCCATCCTGACATGTCTGGCTCCATGCTGGCTAGTGCTGTGAGATCAAAACTGATCAAACAGTTAGATAGCACAACATCGGCAGAAACCTTCGGCGGACATATTGGAACTGAAGTGCGAACTGCCTGCCTGTTTTCACCGCACTCACACTGATTCGTACATCATTCTGGGTGGGTCAAGGCCAAGGAGCCGTTACTGAGGCAAAGGCTGAATGTACAGAGTTTCCATCATTAAAGTAGAACCTTTCAGCAGTTCTTTGCAATTCTTTGCAGGTAAGGAAGCACAACTTGAGGCGCTTTTCGTGTTGCGCTCCGGCCAGAATGTCTCACGACTTGCAGAACTTGATGCACAAACAAAGTGCTACCCCCCCTTCAGTCAAGTCTCGCTCTTTTGCTCCTGGCTGGGCAAGTCCTTGCTCTCAATGAGGACTTATTGAGTATGGTGACGCGCTGTCATTATTTTGCGACTGCGCCGGGGCAAGTCATCAAACAAAGGAAACACACACACACACATTCACACGGTGCCAGTCGGTCTGTGTTGTCCTTGGTCAAGTTTGGCCAGGTTCGCAAAGAGCGGCCGGCCGCCTCCAGGATGATGTACAGCTGGTCAGAAAAAACTTGTTGAACCAGTTGCTGTCCGGTCGAAAATGTAGAAAGCACCTCCAAGGATACAAGCTAGCAAACTTAGCCCCTTGAGTTTGGTGGCCAGAGTTGCCTGAGGTGCATTTTCTGTTGCGTGCAGTGCTTCCGCCCTTGCATAGCCTTTCTCAAGGCGCCACTTGTAGGGGTCATGATAGAAAAGTCCTCCATGGCTGAAAATGTAGCTAGTCGACTGCTTTGAATAACTTAAAGACGCATGCCGCTTCTCCAGAAGTTGCATTGCCTCGGCAAATCGTGCTTGCAATTGAGCGAACTCGGCATTTGCCTCAGCTTGGCGTCCAGGCAGCCGGTCAGGATGATGGAGCTTTGCCAGCCGGTGATAGCTTGCACGCAAAGCTCCCACATCAGTAGTATTTGCGGGCAGTCCAAACTCCACAAGCAGAGCCTGCAGCCGCTTTGTAGCCGCAGATGTCGCATGGAAGCTCATGGCTGGATGCGTCGCGTACGCCTGAAATCAACATTAACATGAGGCGTTCAAAAGCATGAATGCCTCATAACGGCCTGCACTTTGGCTATGAATTGCCCAATCACAATATATAATAGTCAGTGCTGTTTTGCGTGGTTCTCCAGTTCGCAGTGGCCCTAGAACAGTCACAGTTATCCTCCCCAGCCTCAGCCCATGTAAGAAGGGTACTCAGAAACAAAGGGTTTGAGCATTCGTACCCCTGCGTACAGGTCTCAGGAAGACGAAAGTGGCAGGTCAAAACATGTCAAGAAGCTGCACAAATTTGAACCTTTCCACAGCCGCCTGGTGGAGGTGAAGCACCCCTGGCCTCAGTGGATTTCTGAAATCACTCCCTAATAGATTAACAGCCCTCAGCACATAATAATGCACTGTGTTTAATTTTGGGATGTTTGATGAGGTTCTTCAACACAAGCCTTTTTGAAAGGCACTTGTGTGTCCCGATGGGCTGAGCACGGGGAAGACACCTTTGGTCTTCCTGGTCTGTCTTTTGGAGAGTCTAAGTCTAGGCCAGTCGAAGCATGGCTAGGCAGCTGTGGATCCTTTGCTGCAACCATTGTGCTTGCGGTTCAGGGATCTCACTGATCCAGTCTTTAGGCAGGTTTGAGAAGCCTAGTCTAGCTCCCATCAAGGCGCCAGCGACAGTCGCATTGGAGTCCGCATCGCCTGCTTCCATCGTGATAGCTTGCACTGCTTCTTTGAAGTCATCCGCATGGACAAAGGCCCATAGACCAGCACCGAGGGCCTTGAAGGTGTAGCCAATACCTCCAGAGGCCAGTTCCAAAGATTGCAAACCATCAGCTGCAACACTCACATATCGCAGGAGCTCATCAGCATCTTGACCTTTTAAATGCTTCACTGCTCGGAGGCCAGTTGAGAGTGCAAGTTCGATTCGTTGGTCTAAGGTTGATGTTCCATGTCCTGATAGCACTTGAGATAGAAGCAAAGCGATGCAAACACAGCTGCTCACGCAACGAGGATCTGTGTGTGTGACTGAAGCTGATGTTGCTGCATTGTATTCCACCACCCTCTCATCCCAAAAGCAACCGATGCCCGCTGCCGCACATCGCATGATGGCACCATTTGCAGCAAGCGTGCGGCCAGTCTGCCTCCAAATCACATCGGCAGCAATGTGAGGCGCCATCTCAAACACCGGGTGCTCGAGCACGGAATTCACGGTTTGACCCACACCAAGCCCTGACGTATCACCAAGTTCTGGAAAGCCGGAGTTTCGCCACCGTTTCAAGGCTCTGGCAAAGTCGAGGGGGCTCAAAATCCCGTGGCCAGAAATAATTGCATCCAAGAGTATAATCATCTGGTCAGTGTCATCGGTCCAGTCTCCCTGAATCCAACGTTTTCTGTGCTTGTCCTCGTGCCGTGAAGCTGGGCTTAGTTGTGCGGGGTTTGGGTAGATTCTGGTGGCCTCACATCTCTCCATAAACTCTGTTGACAGGCCTACAGCGTCACCCAAGGCGGCTCCCCAAATCAAGCCATTAATCTTATCCGAGAGCTCCGCAGCAGAGAGGCCAGAGTGAATTCCAGCAACCACCGCAGGCGATTCAACATCACTTGGTGGGAGCATCAACGGGGTGCATGTGTCTGGGAAGGAATAATGACCACTGATGATCACATCTGCGCCCTCAAGGGCAGCCCGTCGAATTGAATCCATGCAAAGCTCCACAAGAGGCTCCTCTTGTGAACCATCAACACTGAAGGTCACTGCTGGACTAAACTCCTTGTATGACAACAATGGAAGCAAGGACTCTAAACGTGTTGTCACACTGGCAGCAGTGGATGACAAGTGGCTGACATCGGCGCGAGCAAGGTAGCTATCATCTGTTCCGTTCCAGAGTGTCACAACTGCTACTTGAAGAATTCTTACTTCTAGCTTGCAGTCGTCAACGGTTGCCAGGAATGTCTCCATTTCTTTGGCCGTGCTGAAATCAGAGACTGGACGCCTCTCGAAACCATCATCGAATACAAGGTCTAAGTCTTCTATGGCATCCGGTGAAATTCCTAGAATATTGGCCACCGATCTGGAGGTGCTTTCTGGGCAAATTCCCGTCATATCAAGGTGGACGGTGTCAGGCTCAAATGGCTCGCCGATGCCGTCGGCGATTGAGATCAACATCTGTCTGCGGCTTGAGTACTGCAACAAGAAATCCCGCAAACTCTGAAGCTCCTCACCCATGACATTTTGCCCATACCCATCCGCCCCAATACCAAAGAATGGGTCCACAGTACTGCCAAAAACTATTCGTGTGTCCTGTGGTATGCTCAACAAACACCTGCGAGCCGCTGCGTGTGCCCAGAACTTCTCCCAAAGAGCTTTCCGAAGCCGAGCTTGCTTCACCTCATCCCAGTCTGCCCGTAGTGGGCCACATGTGCGCCCCAAGTGCTTCGCAATGCCTGGATCCAACTGCGTGCGAATCTTCTCCTGCAAATCTAAATCCAGAAATTTTCCTGCTTGGAGATAGTGCTCTGCAGTAGGCCACCATCGACGCAAGGGTGGCACTCCATCTTGGGTCCAAAAACCACAACCGGTTTCAAAGTTGCAAAGGACTTGAAAACCATCAGCGACCATAATATCCAGCTCTGCTGCCATTTGATGACACAGGGAGGGCGCTCTGACACGGAGCCGGTTGGACCAATCTGATGAGACTATCCTGTTGCGAGCCAGCGCTGCCAAATGTAGCACTAGCATTCGGACTTTGTGCATTCAAACATTCCAACGTATTTAAACAAAAACAACTCGACAATGTTCAACATGCTGTGCTGGAGTGCTGCATGAAGAAAGATGAAGGAACCATGCTCCACGTCTCAGCTCCTGGCCCAGGCCGTTCCTGGATGTGAAAGCCAATCATCTCCTGGGTGGAACTGAGAGGATCGAAGGATGCCGAAGGCCGTCCTTAGGGGACCCTGGAAATCCTGGAAACACGTCTTTGGACGATGCCCTTGCAAGAAACACTTTGCGGATTTCATTCATTTTATGATAGCCCACTATTGTCCACTCCCAGCATCTTGTTTCGGGGAACGAGTGCCCTTTGGATGTGGACGCTCCAACGGAGAACTTGCAAGTACAGCACTCCTTCAAGCCGGGGTTCGGCCACAGCGGAGCAGGTCATGAATGCTTTCAAGATCTCAATAACCCATGACTCAGCATCCAACGTTCTGCGGGGACAGCAGCCTTCCTCATCACCAAGAAACGAAAGTCAAATCAAAATTTGCAAATAATTTTGGTCGTGTGGGCATATACCTAAAATCGCACGAGCATGATCCGCAGTTTCTTGTCTTGTAGTCATCCGCATTTCGTGCATTTATGCATATAGTTTTACATGTCGTAAAGACACACACACACACACGTATGTATATATATATATATATCCCCCCATGTGCTCACCTTCCAGTGCTTTTTGATGGTGTGCGCGGTTTTTGCTAAACATGTTTAAGGGCTAGATTTTAGGGCGGGAATTTGTTTGTCTTAGGGGGTGCGATATGCATGTATACTGTATCCTTATGTGTGTGTGTGTGTGTGTCACACTCCGTCCCGAGGAGTTTCGCGTTGTTTGATGCAGGGGGATGCCCCACACCTGAAGAGAGGGCATCTAACAAAGAGGCTCTTCAGGTTGTGCTGATATCTGGAAAGGACGCTTTCCAGACGTTCCTGCGCTCAACTTTTGATCAAGCTGTTCCACTCTCGGTTTGTTTGCATGGTGGTTGATCACGATACTTTCCCCTCAAACAGGTTTTCCTTCAGCAGCTTTCTGCCGTTCGTGAGCCGCTTGCCTTTCCGCAGATGTGCGCAAACAGCGTGTTCAACACTTCAAGTGAGCTGAATTTCTCGCCATTCCGTTCCCTCACCATGTTGGCTAAATGGCAGGTGTGTGGAGAAACGGGGTTAGCAAAGATTGCCTATACGAAGTTAGTGCACCAAAAATACTTCCACGAAGTTTTGCGAAGGTTTCTGGAATTTTGTTGCGGTCAGTCTTCCCACTGGCCCACCATTCCACGAAACGTCCACGAATAGCCCCGAGTTCCACGAATGTCCCGCACCACTCTTTCTGTGCACCCTTCTGTTTTCCTCTGACCGATTCCCTGCCCTTAGAAAACTTCTACGGTAAAAATGAAATTAACATATGCGGAGTCGCCGGCCATGACCCTTAAACATACGGACAGAATAGGTATTGTACACTACCTCTGGCCGGCCTCTACATATTTTATTGGCGTAACCACACCAGGAAGTGCAATAGTCCCGTCTCCTCATCAAAATCGCCTCCCTGATGTTCCACACCATTCTTCAACCCTGTTGGATTTTGGATCGACGACTTTACAAAAAACTGATCTATCTGTCTATCTATATGTATATAATCATATAACCGTGTCAATTGCTAAAGGAACTTCATTCTACATGGTCGACTTTGGGCGAGCAAAAAGTTACCCCAAACATCCTTTATCTTTGATACGAGTTTTACTTCTTAATCGGTAGGCGTACTAGCGGCTAGTGGTCCCAAGTCCTAGCAGAAACATCTTGAACAATCAACTTCCTGCCTAAATTTGTTCAGGTCCCCCAACGGCTTGCTGTGAAGCGGTTCTCATTCTTGCATAGAAACGATCCTGGGCCAAGATGATTTCTTGCCTTTTGTTTCTCTTTCTCCCATGGCTGTTCTGGATGTTGGGGTAAGATAATATAAATATATATATATATATATATTCCGCTTTGTCTCCATGTGTATCCCTTTGTCACCGTTCCCCATGCCTCTTCGGATGTTGAGCTGCGATGATTCTGCATTTGCCCCCCTTTGACTCCCATGGCTCTATATGGCTCTTGTATGCTGGGCCGGGGTGGCCGGGCCGGGCCAGGATGATTTCTGACCCTTTGTCTCCTTTGTCCGTCTTCGTCTCCCATGGCTCTTCTGCATGCTGGGCTGAGGTACTTCTGCTTTGTCTCCTTTTCTAATCCTTTGTCTCCTTTTCCCATCACTGTTCTGTATGCTGAGCTGAGATGATTTTGCCCTGTCTCCCTTAGCAAAGAAATACGATGCAAAAGATTCGCCGGCAAAAAGAAACATCAAGCTTTTGCTGCTGTTTGGGGCGGTGCTAGTGAAATACATAAACATAGCGGCATTGTTCTTGAAGATTGTTGAGAACGAGAATGACTCGAGAATACAGGAGTTCGGCTGCATTTGTGCTTTAGCGGTTGTCTGGGCTTCATGTCAACAACAAGTTGCAAGATACACGAAAATTGTGGGTGCATGGGGGAGGCAGGTAGTATGTTATTTCTGCATGTAAAAACGATTATACATAATACAACTACATGTGTAATACAAACATATATATCATATATGATATGTATGCACGGCTGGGTCGCTATATGTATAACTACTGTAGAACGGTTCATTGTGAAATGCATTGGAATGCTGGTTCATTGTGAAATGCATTGGAATGCTGACAACAAGGTGAACAGTGACCCACCGCTGAGCTGCTAAGAAACCGGCACAGTCCTCACCTGAGCTGTGAAGCGATGTCCTAAACATCTCCGAACATCCGCAGCTTTGATGATTCATTTTGGCCCGTCACGCGCTTCTTGACTCCACGAGCTTTGGGAGCCTCTGCAAGCTCATCAAAAACGATCAAACACGAAGGACACTTGAAGCTCAATCAGACTCAAACATGCTTAAACGTTGCCGCTTCTGGAGAGATGCCGCGAATTTCATATTGTCCCTGAGCCCCAAACGCCTATGGCACCTGATATCGCACGGCATGTGTTTCGGCTGTGGATCGCTGTTCCCCCTAACGCTGTAGCTTCATGTTTAAATTGACTCTTGTCGGTTGGATCGGCACTGTGATCCAGTGTGAATACCTTTTGGGATGCGTTTGGTATGTTATGGAATGGTGCTGCTTGGTGGACTATCTATACTATCCGTCTCTCTCAACATATCTTCAATATCTCGTGTCCAATGTTACAACTTGTCCGCACAAATCAACAAGTCAAAATAAGCCAATAACTTTGCCAGGATACGCGTAACATCACAGCCCAATCGCATCCGCGCCCAAATGTGTATCCTCTCTTCAGCTGGCGCATGCTGAGTCTCAGGCGCACAGTTTCTTTCTGCTCCTTCTGCTCCGTCTCAATCCAAGCCTACCACAACATACAACAACTATTCTAGCCCCGCTTTACATACTTCTGCGCTCAACGCCATGCAAAACCCTCAGGGGGATCGCTTCTCACCAATTCCATTGAGACTTTATAAATAAGAGCGGTCTTCAAAATGAAAAGTGTTGAGTAGTGTCACGTAGTGTCTGCCAACGGAAGTTTCCTCAAGGTGTCGAGCCGTCTATGGTCTGCATCATCTCTTCGTTTTTGCACCTGGCACACCTCTTTGGCCAAGGCAAGGTGCCCTGACATCTGTCGCATATGTACACTAGCACCACGCGTACGAATTGGATCTGCTTCAGGGACAAACTTACTAAGCAAAAACATGCTTGCTCCTTAAACAGCTCCTGGATACTGTTCTGCTTGAAACCCTAACGTCTGGCATGCAGATCTCAGCTAGCTACAACGAAACGGGTTCAGTACAGGAAACTACTGAGAACTAATGACTACACGTGAGTACTGTACAGAATCTCAGTACCTGAACATTCTGTCATCGATGTAATCGGTTTCAGTATCCGGTTCCGGATTGCCAAGCGATCACTTCCTCCTCGAAGGCGTCAATGACCTTCCGGCTTTCAACTTCGGATTCTGGTGGTGTCTCCGACAGCCAACCTCGGTGATCTTGTTTGAAGACTCTCCCACATCCAGCAAGGACACCTCCCCACAAACACCAAACCTACTCTGACCTGCTATCCAAGACCACCCCTCACAAAAATAGCAAAAAAAAGGTAAACCCGTGCAAATGAAGCTAAATGGATGCTGCAAGCAGCCATGAAAGTTCAAGGGATCACGTTGGCAGCGCACCAAAGGAATACCCTCTGGTGTGGTGACACGTGTAACCTGCAACAATGTCAAAAGCTCCAAAACTTTAAAAAGCGCAAGTGCCCATGATGCTCTGGCAGTACACATGGATCCTCTGAGAAAGTCACTTGCGGATGACCCTGGCAGCCAATCTCACACATGTGCTCCGCGAACATTGGCCAGTCAATCCTAGAATGATGCAACAAGAACTTGCTTGGTTCTTGTACAAGCTAGCAATCAGCATGAGAAGGTATTGTTCCATATTCTTCCAAGGCTCTGCCTGTCCCCAAAGACATGGCGCGCGAGGCGGGCATCCTTGGAGCAGGTTGCATAGGAGAGATAGGACAAATTCAAAGCTTCTCCATTGAGCAATTGAGGTAGCAACAACTGCTTCCTGATAGAAGCCAATGCCAACCAGGCGTCCACCAGCGTGAGAAGCCTTGTTTGTCGATCAGGGAATGGACCTCCAGCAATGTCATCAGGCGTGATTGCATGCCGGCCCTTTGCATAGACATTCTGGAAGATCCTGCCAGAGTAAAGAATAGAGGTGGTGTCAAGATTCATGTGTAAGAAGGCGGTTAGCCTGCAATTTGCAAACACGCCTGCCATATCCATTTCCCACACTTCCCAAATAGTCCTCTCCAATTGCTTTCGCTCATCATCATCTATCAGCCTAGGTGATTTCCAGCGGATGCAGTCCTTAGATTCAGATCGCACATTTCCTTTCTAACCTACTAAACTAACATTAATCTGGGAGTAGCACCTTTCTGAAACATGTTAGTTTGCAGGAACAGGCAAGCGTCAAGCTGGTGCCCCCCAAGCCATGACAACATCTGCGAAATCTCAATGTTCGATGATGCTGGATAAACCCAGGAGAGCAGCAGCCCTAGTGAGATGCCCTCCAAGCTCTGTTGTGCACTTGCGCAAAGCTCCTTCCAAAGTTTGACTCCACGCAACAAGGCAGCCAAAGTCCGGCGATATGTCTGCTGAATTCCGCAGCTTGCTTCCTGCTCCAGCCAGTGAAAGAAGGTCGCCCACTGCAAACGAGGTATGTGCGAAGGCCTTTCACATTTCGTTGCCGGAACGCAGCCATCTTCGTGATAACCATGCTTGTTTGGTTCACTCTCTTTCGGTTGCTCGGACCAAGCCTCTTGGACAAGCTTCACATGACGCCAGTATCGTACTTCGGCGGCTCTGTCCGCCTCAATCGCTTTCAGCCTGAGAAAATGTCGGTAGATTCGCTGCACCTGTTGCACTGAAGCTCGCCCGATCGGCTGCTCAAGCTTTGTCTCTCCAGGCTTTTGACTCACTTTGGCGCCCAAAAGGGCAACATGCAAGCCTGTAGCAATGCGAGAGAGGACTCTCTCTCTGATTGCTGCTACCTTTGGCGAGTCTGTCCTGCTAATGGCTGAGCTAGGTCTTCTGAACACGGGAGTGGCTGGAACAGGTCCAGATTTAGGTCTTTGGCGGGCCGCAGATGACGGCAGTGACGCCGGTGATCTGCATATCTGCTTCTCCAAATTCGGCTGCGTTTGTGCCCGACTGACGCATCTATGTTTCTGTGAATAACGATTTAGAAAAGACAAAAAGCGCGTCTCTGCCGGATCCCGAGCCAGCTTTTTGCGAAGCACAGGCTCAGAATTACATCGCCCCAGCATGGCCCAAAGGACATGGGACACAACGCTGACGGTGTGTTTCCAATTTTGCTCTTTGTGGGGCATCTTGGTTGGCCAGTCATGCCAATTGGCTCACCTATACACTCTGCATTGTGCCCGATCTATGCAGTCTTTATCCTCTTTCAGTGGGGTCAAAATTGCACGGTTGCTATAGAATTCTTGGACGGTGGAGCACCTTGTTGCCAATTTCTCGAAAATGTCGTGAGAAGCCTTGTAGCTGTGCAAACAAGCTGTCAGGAGTCAGCATACATGCTCTCAAACACAGAAGCCTGTGGCTAGGGAAAAAAGGCACATGCAGAAGCAACACACTTCAGTTGCCTGGTAGTAGCGCACGATGTGCATGTGAGTGAGCCTGCGTAGCTGAGCGGCGAAATATAATGAAAGCAATGAGTTCAAACACCGTGAGGTCAAAACATGTAAACAGCTGTAAACATCGCAACGCTGAGAACTCTTGCACAAGCAAACGAAAGTACCAAGTTGAAGTCATTGAGCCAGGGGTGGTAACATGAATGCCGATCTCATGCCCCCAGAAAGCACACATATCACAAATACTCTTGAGCCGATCTCTCTCTCTCTCTCTCGCTCGCTCGCTCCCTCCCTCCTCGGGAGCAGCGCACACTCTTGGAGCAAGCGCTCACGCTCTTGGGCGGAGCCTCGTAGCTCCATGCCTCGTAGCTCAAGATGCCCGCGATCTCTCTCATCGCTTTACGTCCCGGCAAGCTTCGCACGCGCACAGGGATCGCAAAGACATCATCATTGTAGATACAGTATACGAACATGTGCAGCCGAATGGAACTTGAAAGTTAGTCAAGAAAGTGAAAACTCCAGATTTACTGAAAACAAAGCATGCACCTGTTTTTCCAATCCGCTTGTAAAGCCCCCCTTTGCATTAGCAACATGTCTCCATACATCTTCTACGCAAACCATGTTAAAGACCCCCATGCTGATATCGACTGAGGCCCTGTCGCTTGATGGCGTAGAGCTGACCTTACTGTCAGCTCTCAGCGAATGCCAACGTTTGTGGTTTTGATCCTTTTCTTCTGGATGAAGATAAGGGTAGTAAGCAAGCTAAACAGCAAGCAGGTGCGTGTACCAAATAAAGCGCGGTAAGAGTCGGTAAGAGCACGTAAGAGCTATTGCATCTATTAGCTACATGCACGGAGTCTCGCTGCATGAGATGTTCACAAAGACTGTGACTAAGCCGAAATGATTCCCTCGTGAGAGACTCCGGTCGCTCCGGGAAGCGAGCGATCCACGCGATGTCTGGCCTTGTGCGCCATATCAGCAAGGCATGGTGTGCCGAAACCGACCGAATGCACAACCCGCTCGGACCGCCTTGGTCACAGTACCAAAGCCACCTTTGCCCAACAGCCGAAGCTCCTGGCCAGGACTAAGTAGTTCCGAGGTGTGTCCCCCCTAAGCCCCACCAAACACTACTCACCTTTGGTACCTTGAACCTCCCCCACTTGGGAAGGAGTCGCAGTCATATATGTGGATATATGAATACACATGTCATGAATTTACAGATGCAAGCACACACACACACACCCAAATTCGACATAGTTCGCCAATTACCAGGTTTGCAACGCCAGCCTCAAAGTCGGCTGCATAGCGGCCGCTAGGTGCTGAACTTGCGACCTCGGGCTGTACAAACTGGATGCGCAACAGTGGAGTGAACCTATCTTCACAGTGTGATGGATCCTTTTGTCCTTGCATGTCCTTGCCTTGATTCACCCTCCTCACTCCTCAACTCAAGCTACAACTTGGTTTCAAACGTTGGCATCGAGAGGCCTCAGTGGGGAAGCCGGGTTCGAGACCACTGCACAGGCACCTTTCAAAAATATGCCCGGGAAACTCTTTGGAACTTTGTGAGCATCACCCTAGTAGCGTCCTTGCTCCGAGTAGTAAGGCCAGGAGCCCCTAGTAGCGTCCTTGCTCCTAGTAGCGATGCCAGGAGCCCCTAGTAGCATCCTTGTGAACATCACCCACAGCAAAATCGCGAACTTTTCGGGATCACACGGTGTTGCTTCGGCTTGGCCGAGCGAACCATGCACTCGCTGTGCTCCTTCTCGGTGAGCAGTTTCCGCTCAAACCGAAGACTGTCGAGACTGCGACCCTATGTCTGCCTATTCAGGTGTTCTTGGCATCTTGTGAGAGAGCTGAGGACGTAGTGCAGTGTATAGTCAGTATAGTTATCAGTTTTGCCGCCAAGGTGCCCTCAACACTGAAAACCTCTGGAATTTTAATGTTCTTGAAAACGTTTGAGCTTCCAAGCGTCCCGTACACCTCTAACATTCTGAAGTTGTTTCTAAATCGCTTTGACATTGTGAAATCGATCTTCAAATTGTTTCCAAAATGGCTATCAATATTTTAAGCTGTTTACACTGCACTGGTGGTGAAGTCGTTCGAGTGTTTATAAAAGCTGTTCACATTGCAAGTCTGTCTACAAGCTTGGTAAATGGCGTATAAATTGTGAATAGGATGGTTAGGATGGTTTATGAACTAGTCGAAGTCTTTATGGGCTTGTGGCCACCTCCATGCTGTCTAGAAATGCCTGCGGGCTGCTTGACATTCATCTAACTTGTTTGGCTTGTTGAGCGGCCTGACCCGCCCTGAACGCCTCTTAGGCTCTGGGGAGGTGTGCCCAAGAAATCGCATTCGTGCTGCATCGGTGAGTTGGAGGATGGAGTGAAGATGACCGCCAAGCTGTTCACCAGCAGTACAAGAGGTCATGGGAATGATTCGCTAGGGAGCTGTGGTTACTACAGTAGCTTGTGGCTTGGCAGCAGCATAGAACCAGTTCCAGTCACTTTACCATGTGTATAATATACTTAGTATACCGTGTATATGTTTTAGTACGGAGTAATTTGGATGGTCATGGCCCATGGCTATAAGCGGCTGTAACAACAAAGCTCACACACTTAACAACAACACTTGCAACAATTATCGGTTCTTAGAACATCTCGAGCAAAACGAGCATGGAACTACCGTAGTTCAAAGAAATATACATGAGCGAATAATTCATTAAAATAAACGATTTCGTCATATAATTATTCGCTCATCAATAAATATATTAGGACTAGTCGTTGACCCACAAAACAATTTTGAATTAAAGTTTTGTGTGTGATCACTAGTAGATAAGGAATTAATGACTTACCATCTATTTTCATTGTAAGAGTCTTCCTAAAGAGCCATGTGCATTCCTTAGAAACATAATAATGTTCAACGACTGTTTACATAACACAGATTGTCAGGTTTATAACATGTGTATAGAAACAGTGACTGAACACATAAAAAGTTCTAAAACAATGCTATACACTTTAAACACATTAAGCATTTTCCAAACAATTCAATCAGGAGCTCACAGCTTAACACAATGTTTAAAGCGATAGATCTCACAGATCTCACAAACAGTTCAAACAATTGCAAAGCGAATTCAATGTTTTGCACGGGTTTCCAAGGTGGTCCAGCACAGTGTGCTTTAAACACATCTAACCTGGAATGAGCTCAGAACCGTGACGGTGACGTTATGACATCAAATCAAATCAAAGGAAACGAGCGGGGCATAAGATAACTCAAATAAGGAGAGGGGTATACTGCAGTGAAATAAATTGGCACCATATGAAACCAAATGGCACCATGGAGAACATTTGCAGGGGCCAGGTCGCTGTTGGGATGACCGACGTGTTTTTCAACCACAAAGCGATTTCGTACCATGAGGTGTTTCACAAGCAATGCTAATGCTGGCAATGTGCGTGCAAGAAATGCCGAGCCTGACAACAATACTTGGAAACTATAACTCAAAAATATAATGATCATGGATGGCCTGGCGCAAGGTGTAGCAGCGCAGCATAACTGCCAACCTACTTTAGGTCTATGATAGCTCCTTCTCAATCCCAAGTCTAAGTTGTGCGTGCATGGTGACTCAAGAACCCCGGACCTCAGAAGCTGATCCTGGGACTTGGAATGTCCAAGTTAGTAAGTGAGGCGCTCAGGTCGCAGTCGGACAGCATCATTCACCTCTTGTCAGTGGCAGCCTGCAGCCACTGACTAGGTGACTAGGTGCCTTGCCAACAGGTCACGCTCGATTACATCAATAGGTTCGCCTCAGTCCACACATCAAATGGTGCCTATGCAGGAATCAAGGTAGCAAAAGCTGTCCGAGGAACAAGTGTGCCAAAAAAGGTGCTCTGCAGCTTGACACAAAAAACCATCAGCCAAGGATCCAATTCTTCCCCCTTCTCCTCACGAAGCGAATGGTTAGCAATGGAGAAGCTTGTGGACCACAACTTGTCTTCACTGCACAAGACCAGGTATCCAGAAAAACCTTTTTGGACGTTTCAGGCCAAACTCTCGTACGGCCAACCAAAGACAGCGCCTTAGCGAACCTCAGCTCATGCTGCGCTCGATGACTCGATGAGCGGTTTCCGTTTGCTGCAACAAGTCACTCCAAAAAACATGTGTGGACAGCAGCATGACTCTGACTAACAAACTAATTTGCCGCAAGCTATCCCCACCCGGCCAATTTGCGACTTTTTGTTGAAGCACTGGGTCGGGAACCCAGGGACACTTGTATGCTGTCAGGACTGCCGGCAAAATTGGTGGTCGCAGGGCCCGGTTAGTGCAGGGACACCTCGTGGGAAGACTGGGTGATGCCACTGGTGATGCCCTGCAACAGCAGTCACGATATTCTGTTGACCCCAACTACCCCAATCCCATCCGGGGAATAACAATTCACAAGCCTCTTTAGAGATTGCACACAGGATGAGTAGGGATTATATACATACATTGCACTTTGGCAGCTAGCAAACGATTGCTTCATCATGCGCATAGTCAAAGAAAGTATACAATGCCTATATACCAGGGCTTCAGCAATGTAGGGGCTCACAGGGAAGTGTGTGGCCAAACAAACAAGCCAGATGCTGCAAACCCTGTGGTCCAGCATTCTGTTTTGTAACCTTCAAGATTCCTTGTTGAGGCTTCGGCTGCGTTTACTTATTCGAGGATTGACATTGAGTTTTTGGAATCTAGAATCTAGTTCCTTCCCGAGCGGCTTGGTCAAGTCATTTAGCGTAGTGACCTTCAGCGTGTCCTACAATCATGACTGCCATGTGTTGGCAGTGTTCAAGGGCTCGAGCTTGCAATCTACAACCTGAAAGATCAAATAAGTATCAACAACATTTTATATAACTAATAGAAAGGCTGGGACTGCAACCATTACTTACCAATCGACCGCTCCTCAACACCTAACTCCTCCGTCCTGTAGGGAGCTGTTCTCCGCAACACCAAAGCAGTCGCAAAAGCGTTGCATCAACTGGGCCTGCGAGAGTGTGAAAAGCTACAGCGGTGTTTTCACAGCCCTGTTATGGCACCTTGTCTAAAGCCCAAAGATATGACTTGGAAAGTCCATAGTGCCTGAAATTCAGCAAAACGCCATGGAAAAGCTGTGGTTGGCAGCCAGGTGGCACAAAATGTTCGTTGGTGCCCAGTGCCCGGTGCTGAGTCTTTCAGGAGTGCCACCACTGGTCGCTTCTGAGTTTTGTCATCCGAGTTTGTGAAGCAGGGGTGCCCAGTTTGTTTGTGAAGCATCACAGCTGCATCCATTTTGCCACCAAGCCACCCCAAAACAGATCGAAGCGTCCGCTCGTCCAACTTCTTGACATGTGATGGCAGCTTCTGGCCCTGATCCGGTTACAATGTCTTGTGCAGCACATCTGTTGGCATCTCGTGCAGCACGAGGGGCGTTATCCATTGCGAAAACACCTTCGCCATCCCTCATCAGCCTGCACAATTATGCAAGTCGCAAGCCCTACTTAGTCAACAAACACGTATGATGGCGGCGCATGGGTGAATCCTGTACAATGGAATCTGCCATGCCTCATGAAGTCAATAAACCTCAGGCAAAGGTTAGGTTTGATGCACCTGGCACCTGTTGGGCCTCGAATTGTGCCTACCAACGTCCGTGAAAAAAAGAACCACCTCGACATCCCATTGACTCAACCTGTCTGGGCAACTCTTCGAACTCGAGAGTTCCTGAGGCATCTTTGTCAAGCAAGATCCAGGTCTGCTCGAAGGCCTGGACAACTTGACAATCAGATATGTTTGAACGACATATGTGACACTATGTCTATCTATCTATCTATCTATACAATTTCCCTTACTTGTATATGCAAAGAATCTTCTGGTTGTTCAAGGGTGCCCGGTGCTGAGACACAAGTCAACCTAGGCAGCCCGAAAAGTGGCCAATGCCTGAGCTTTCATGCAACCCAATTCCAATACACCAGACAAGATGGAAAGTAGTGGATTGTTCGAACGGATTGAGCAATTGGAATTCAGCATAGGGTCATAAGGATGGAATCTTGGACCCAAATGTGGAGTCCAGAACCTATCTTGATAAGTGCATACGAGACAGGTTTCTCTACAAAGCGTGCTGCACCATATCACTACCAATACTTTCTGCACGGAAATCTGTTGTCAAAACTACTAATTATAGCACAAGTGCCTCCATGCGTTTTTGTCTCTAAAAATTGCAACCATCAAATCATATGCAAATCCATCGGCGGCCTGCCACGTGGAATTGTGCCTCAACTGATTCGCAGAGCGACCCTATGCGCCATGGAATGCAAGGGAAGCAGGATCTGTCACAAGTGACTGCGATCAAGAAACTGCATGATGCTGAGGCATTGCCGAACCTGAGGCTCTCCATGCTCTCGGCTTATCCAAAGAAAGCAAACCTATTTTTTCAAAGGAGGGGTAGGCCGAGAAGCGGGAGGTTGTAGCTAGAGGTAGCTAGTAGCTTAAGTAGCTAGTATGTACAGGACTACCATATATGGACGTAGGATGACGTAGGATAGCTCACGCTTCGTCAAGGAAGCCGCCCCCCGCCACCCTAAAGGCGGCGGGAGCTTCCTTGAAGAAGCGCTCGCACTATTCATTTGGCTCCTAGATTTTTAGGGAAGCTTAACTTGGCCCCTCGCCTCGGCCATGTCTAACTGGCCAGAGTTGTCAGCGTCCAAGTGCTCAAAGATCGCCCGAAAACTCCCTGCAGTTCGCCGGCAGGCAAACAACATGGACCTCCCTTAAAAGTCCATAGCACAACAGTCTCAAACTGATACCATCTGATACCGTTATGCCATTTGTCGGTGATGACCTGCGTTCACTCAACCTTACCGCAAACCTTGGACCCTGATTTGTAAAATGGGATGTGATTGTGCAACCACATTGCGGAAGCATTCCCAACCCTTGAATTGATTTAGGGGTTGGGCAGCAAACCCTTCTCCCAGCAATACTTTTTTTTTGTTTTTGTTAATCGCTTGTAGTAAGTACTGCAATTTTCGTTGCACTGGAAGGGGGTTGGTGGGAAGGCGCAGCGCCCCCCCCAAGGGTGAGCCAAAGACATGTTATATTCCGGTCGCTTCGCGACGACAACCCCCCCCACTATTGGCTCTTGGGGGTCCAAATGTAGTTTCTGGTAATTATTCAAATCACTCTATTTTTCGACCTCCGTAAAACTGTACATTTTTCAGTGGGCCAACTTATGTCCATTTGCAGGCACTGTACATTTTTTCTGGAGGACCAAGTTATATCAATTTTGCAGGCATTGTTAGATATAAATTGCCCCCCCTGAAAAATATACAATTTCCAAGGGATTGAGAAATAGAGTGATTATGCACAATAAACTATGCGATTGCAATCCGCGGCTGATATGATGCAATAATGAGAAATATATGATTGAAAACATAAACTGTTGAGAGGGGCGAATGTTTGCCCATCATGTTACAAACATTGCAGGATATGCATGTCCATTTCATTTTACCCTTCAGCACCTTCGGCGCGGGCGGATTTTGCTGGGTGTATAAGTGTATATGGTGGGCTGGTCTCCAAAAATTTCAGTTCGTTTCGTGGCGGGCGCGATGCTTGGAAGACGGGCTCGCAGACTTCCAATCGTTCCTTCAAGCACCTCGCAGGCTTTGCGTCCCTGAGTGCGCCATGTGGCTTCAATGGTGTTGATGGCCCATGTTTGTTTTGCAATTTCCAGAAGTTGGCGATTTGGCATGCATCGTGGCCAGCTTCTCGTCTAGTGGTTAGGACGTTGCGTTGTGGCCGCCACACACAAGCCAATTTGTGGTTGCAAAAGTGGGATTAATTTGCAATCCATACGTTGCAAATATTATTGTGACACTTGCAGGCTCCCGCAACAGAGACAGCATTTTTTTTCGTAGAACGTGCGAAACACCGCAGGACCACTAGTTGATGCTCATGGCATACGCTTACCACCGGACCAGGGGAACAGGATGAGCAGAACTGGGGACCAGCGGACTAGTTTTTTGAATCCAATTCATTCTTGGTCATGTCCTTTTTCTTTTGATCCAGGTGCCTGTTACGTGACTATGACTATGACAATGGCGATGGGTAGGAGCAGCAGTAGCAGTAGGAGTAGCACTAGCAGTAGCAGTAGCAGTGGCAGTAGTAGCAGCAGCAGTAGTAGCAGTAGTGGTGGCAGTAGCAGTAGCAGTAGCAGTCGTCGTCGTTGTGGTAGTAGTGGTAGTGGTGGTAGTAGTAGGAGTAGGAGGAGGAGTAGTGGTAGTAGTAGGCGTCGGCGTCGGCGTCGTGGTCATAAGGTGTGCACCAGCTTGAGACCAAGGAAGTTGCTATGAAGTTGTTTGCTGGAATATGTGTATCTATATATTTATGAATAACCTTAGAAGGGAGGGGACGAAAGCCAGCCTTCGTAAGAAATCATAAATGTGGTTACAAGTGGAACCCATGCGTTGGGAGAAAGTTGAGTTGAGCAGGACATTTACAGTCCGGGGGGGATAAAGGTTGCACTATGTTGCGTTGAACAGGACATTCACAGGTCGGGGGGGGCCTTTTTCTTTTGGCTTAGGGGCGTTTTAAGATTAAAAAGGGCACCCCCTAAGGGGTCTTGTAGCTGGATTCATAAACTCGGCGTGCTGCTCAGAGTGGTGTAGTCTAAAGTTTCCTGCCAAGATCGCGTGATTGCGTAACATCGAGCAAAGATTACTATTGTTGTAGGGTGATTGCACATGATTCCTACTGCTGTTTTGAGGGTCGATACGATAGGCTCTTTATATATATATACAGTAAATATAAGAGGTTTTGATCAAGGCCCGCTCACTGTTAGCGGTTGTAGGATAGAAGTGCTCTTCGTGATGCTAATGATGCACCCTTCGGCGTCGATCGCATCACTAGACCCCCCAAACCATACATTTTTACTACTTTCCGCGCCGCCTCTTCTTTTCGCTCTCCCCCACCAGGCTCTGGGTTCTTCCCGGCCGGGCCCACTTTGAAACCACCCCTCCACACCCCCTATACTCATTTCGTTCGTCCATCGACAACTCCAGCCCAGCCTATCGGCTGGCTTTATATATGTAGTACACAGATCATTTACATATGAAACACATATATGCATATGATATATTTTGATAAATACCAATTCGTTGGTACCTGTGCCAGCGAAGCTGTTCCATGATGGGGGCAGCGGACGCTGATCACGTCCGTCGTGTACCTGCTGCCTCAGGTTGGTTACGTATTGAAGTTCGGCAGATGTGCAAATGTGCTAGTTACGTGTGTGAGCTTTAAGCACTTGGCCCCTTTTGACCCTTCTGCAGTTTGGACATTCCCGCGGTTGCACCTCGCTCCTTTAGACAACCTGGTTTGCTCAGGCAGCTGTTTCCCTTAGGCCTTTGAGGGTGAATCGCACTTCCCAATTTTATCAGTGTGTCCCCCCTGTTGTCAATGGCGTGCTTTGCCTGAAGCTTGTTCTTGTTATTTCGCTTGGACTCCTCTACCCTTGTTCTTGTAGTTTGCCGGTGGCCGCTTGGTGAACTGCTTCCGGTGACCAATCGCAGTCTTCCAGCTCCCTCCCCGGTTTCCAATCCAAGACGCCCAACTCAGTCTCCGTGAAGCCACGTGCAAGGGCATACCTGCCATGTTCGGCAAGCACACGCTGGTGCGTCTGAATACTATTCGTCCCTTTTACACTTGTCATGCTTACAACTTACTTATTCGTTCGTTGTGTTGTTCGGCACTACGTCTGATGTAAATATCTGCAGGCAGGTGACTCCACTTCCGAGTCATAACCTTCAAGCAAATCAGATGGAGAATCTAGAGAATTGCCAAACACCTCCAAACTCAAAACAAACTGATTGAAATGCAAATAGAAGGCGTAAGCTGGCAAACTTCTCGTCGATCCGCTGGACGAGTTCCTGCAACGAGAATTGGGGATTGGCTGTTTGGTTTGCAGGCTTGTTGTCCTTAAACTCATCAAAATCGATGACCTCAGATTCCAAGGCAATCGGAAAAACAATATCATTGTAGAATATTCTGGCAGTGTATATATATTAATTATTACATAATGTAATATAACTATATATCAACTATATATAATATATATCTCCAAAAAGTATGGAACATATATAAATAGGTCCTCTTTCAATTCACACCAAATAAGGACACATTCGCGTCAAGTGAGCTTCAATTGAGAAAAGTCACGTTGTTTCCATCAGCATCTACTGATTGGATAAGTTGCTGTACTTCCTCTTGCTCCTTGCCTTGGCTTTGCCAATTTCATTTCAACAAAGGCATCCAGAGGCATTGCAACAAACGTCGACGATTCGCTAAAGCTTGATCATGCTGATCTGTGAAGATCATCACAAGACGCATCAAACCAATTCCAAACCTCTCCAGGGCCAGAGTGGTTGATCATAGTTGATCATTGATCACCTCTTTTCGGTGCCAAAAGTCCGAGACGCGGGTGCGCGGGCAGCATTGAGCTTCCTGAAAGCACCCTCACTTCAATCCCACAGTTCGCCTATGGTGGCCTACGTTTGTAGGAAGATGGATTGCAAGGATATCAGTCCTCAAGGAGAGCGTGGAGTTCTTTCATGTCCAAAACGCCATTGCGATCCTCGCATGAGCTCAAGAATAGAAGACCTTCTCTCATGGATAAAGTGTCTACTGCAAGCATGTTGGCACTGTGTATCACTGTGTGCCTCAAAATGCCTCAAAACCTAGTGACCTAGCAATCAGGGGTGAGTCCCTCCCAACAAGGTTTGATCCTTGGAAAAAGACATGTGCAGCCCCCAAGGCCCTCAAGGTTGCCAATTTGCCGAAGTGGTTCGTGGTGCTTTAACAAGCCCAAAGGGAGCCTTTTTCCGGCCTTGTCCAGGCGCTGGAACCTTTCCATGAGCTCTTCCAGCCGCTGCTCATCGTTGTATTCCCGAACGCATCTGACATGGTCACTGATTCGCGCGACGCATGGCACAAAACATGAGTCAGTAGATGTTCACCAGGGTGATGAATGAACACATATCAACACCAGCAGTGCTTCTTTCTGATTCTGCCTTGGGTAGTTCATGGTTGCCCAGACAGCCATAATAAACAAAAAAAAACACAAAACAACACAAGTAGAAGAATACCATGCAGGGTTTGCACCGCACCCGCACCTCAAAAATTCGAGGAACTCCTCGAAGTTCAATTCCGTCTGCATGTAGACGATGTCTTCCGCATCTTCCGGAACTAAAAGGCTCTTGATGTTGTCTCTCTGCCACCCTTCGCGGGGCATCATCCCGAGCTCATAAACCGAAAGGAACGCATCATTGGCTGTAACCACACCGATTGATCCTGCATCACCCGAGAATTTTCGGAAGATCTCATAGACCTGAGCTATGTTGTCTCTACATTGCTCAAAAAGGTCTGGTCTTACCTTCATCTCCGTCAGGATGTCAATCTCACGTTCTCTGAGCTGGCGATTGGTTCGCTCCCTGCAACTCATGACTGCTCGTTCGAAGGAATCAAAGTCAACTAATACGCCAGGTTCTTCTTCAAAGCCTTGCTCTTTCAAAGCATCGATCATATGGAGTTGGTCCATTCTCAAGCATCGCGCAATCTCAATGCATTTATATACGGACACCACCCCAGTGCCTTCCCGGTCAAAATTGCAGAAATATCGCATGATTTTAGTGCTTTGCAACTCAGTCAGTCGCTGACGCACCTTTGGCACCAAAATCCCGACAAAGGTTAAGAAATCAAACTTGGCCTCCGAGGGTGCCATGTCAACACCCGTGTCAAAATCTTCGCTGTCACTCCCTTCGGATCCTGAAGTTTTGTCAGCTGCGCTTGAGGTCAGACTGCTCTTCCTGCTTCCATTGCCACCATTGCCCACATTCTCTGAAGGAATGCTGGTTCTGGTGGAAGTTCTCTTGTTGCTTTCCTTGGCTATACAATGTCAGCGCTCAGGGGCCGAAATCCTTGCTCACTCTTGCCTTCTAAGCATCTGCTGCTACGGTGGAGCTTTGCTGCTGTGGGGCTTGTTTGTCTCCTCATCCGCAGGTCAAAACACCCAATTCAAAAAGACCGAACTCAGGGCCAGTGCAACCCACAAGTTACTATATATATATTGAAACTGAACGTGCTTTGCTGAGTCCTGTCAAGCAATACGGGTTCTGGGCAAGTCTAACAAGCAAGTCTAAACAATGTAAAAATCAATCTTTTCTCTGGGTTGCTTGCCCCAGGCTATTCGGTCTGCGTATAGGCGGAATTGGCTCAGCTTGCTACATGACGCCCCAGCTATCCAAAAATTAGCTCACCAAAAGAATCCCAAAGACAGCTTTGGGCTCTGGAAATGCGTCCGAAGAACTCCAAGTGCTTGGAGGGTGGCCTAAGGAGCGTTTACGAGACTACAGTAGGCGGCATGTATCACTTGTCAGTGTTAAACGACTCATCGGGCGTTAGCCGTTAGAGGGATTGGTCTAAGCCATGTGTTTTTTTCTACCTGACTCGAGTCGTGGACGCGTCCTGCCGTCCTGCTCGTTTGGTGACTCCCAGCTTGATGCGTGGCTGGTTCTGCTGGCGGTTCCGCTGGGCAATCAGAACCTGGCGCCAAAATCAATTTAACACACCGCTGATCAGGCCGACAAAGGATCATAAACATTCAAATTCAGATAGACATTTTACAAAACATAAAGGTCTCATGGAATGGACACATAAATGTGAAAACAATGTTCACCTGGCTTAATTGACTGCCACACATCAAGCTACTAGAGTCGCCTCCTGCAAGCTCACGGACTGAATGGAGGTTTGATGCATGCTCTGAACGTGGGCTGCCGTGATGACGTTGCGGCAAACCTGCAAAATCTCCTCAGCCAAGCTTGCAAGTCTATACGTCATTTGTGCGGATCGGGATTGGGCAGTTGGTGTTGTCCCTTTGAAGCCCAAAACAAAGGTGACAGGGACATTTAGGACATTTAGGTAAGAGATGTAGGCACCCTCACTTGGTTGGACTATGCCAACGACAAGTAAAGAAAATGCAAACGCAACAGGTTCGTGGCCATGGCGTTCCTGCACCCGCGTTCGGCAAACATGCTGGTTCCCGATGGCCATCCCAAAGCATCAAGAAACGTGCTGTTCCTGCAACCAAGCAAGCACAATGCCTGCACAGTAGATTGTGCCAAGGCAACAACACGAGATGAAGTGCTAGATTGAACACAGGGATAAGACTTTAAGACATTAAACGACAACAGTGAACTCAGTGAACTCAACATTATATAGTTACATATAACTAATCGATCACAATGAACTAGAAGCCAAACCAAACCGTGTTCACCACCAGGGATTTTTCGGTGATCTCATCAAGCCAGGGGTAAGCACAGCCTATGTCCATGATGTTTATTGGCGCAGCTGACGCCAGTAGCTTTGTTCCTGCAACCCCTTCAGTGCGTTTCAAAAATCCTTTGCGTGCAAAGCTAGGTGGGCTAAGGCCATGGCGGGTCGGGTCGTTTTCCGTGCGCGGCCTCCGCACCTTTCAATGCGTTCACTGTCCTTATCTAGGTAACGGTATTGACGGTTATCTGGCGCCAAAAAGTCTAGTGCGCATGGGGCGTTGCAACGATCATCCGGCAGCAACATGAACTCGAGGTTGAAGAGCGGCACTAGAGAAGCCGGAATCGCAGACTCAGTGTAGCCATCTTGACCCTTGACTCAAAGCAGTTCTGACTGGGCTGCCGACGGCGGTCATGGTTGCCCAGGCCCCCCATCGACTCCACTAGCGACGCACGTTCTTTTGAGCATGGAAAGGTTGAAGTCTTGCCCCTTGACTTTGACTCGGCTACGGCCATCTATTCCGCTGCAGCTAGGGTCCTCTGGGTGCAGGTCTGGGTCGGGGATAAGTAAGTACCAACTGACTGTCCGGATCGAACTGCCATACCGTACCAGAGAACAGATTGTAGTTACGGCTAAGCTTAGCGGCTTAGCGTTGCAGCCGGACTGGGAGTTTGGGAGGTTGTTGAGGGCAGGGAGATTGCAGCGGGCAAGCGAAGATGGCGGAAGGGCTTGAAAGGGCACATGAAGGGCATGATGCCATCTGGTAAGGGCCTCCGAGAGAATTGGACTGAGGCACTCCCTATGCGGTGGGAGTTCACGTGGTCCTCACGAAAGCCTGCCGATAGCCTCGCCCACGACCGTCTCAGAGTCTCTGGTCACTCATTACCAACACGCAGCCGACAAACTCACATAAATCCTTGAGGGTGCCCTTTTTTCATCTCAAAAGCACTCTTGAGCCCGGACGATAAAGGGCACCCCCCCCTTTTAATCCTACCGCCTGTTTCTACCTCCTATCGCGCACCTACGATGCCAACTTTACCCCATAAACGTATTCTTTACATAATGTTAGCCTATCACTTCATCTTGCACACCTACGTCGCTCCAATATCAACCTCACCACTTCCGGCTACTCTTTGTCCACTCTACCTACATATATATATATATGTCCTCACCTACCCTACCCTTAGCCTCGCGTGTTTGCTCACTGATTCGCAGGGTGCCCTTTTTCACCTCCAAATCGCCCCTGAACCGGGACGAAACACCCCTCCCTTCTCAGGTATGATGTATACTTTATATAAGTTTTCGTAAGGGTACTGTTTAGGGAGGTGCGTGTTTAGACTATAGGGTGAAGCACCCCCAGCCCGCCAGGAGGCGGGGGGTCTTGAACCTCCTGGCGGCCAGGAGCCGCCCTCCTGGCGGTGGTGGTTGTTCCTTATGTTGCCTCATTCCGCCCAAGCACTGACCACACTGCCATTAGGAGCCTCATTCCCTTGTAGGGACATATGGATTAATTATCGCTCCAGCGAAGGGTTTGTGATCCTTCTGGAAAGTAATCTGTTTGCTTTGTTTTTCCTAGTTGCTGACTGAAGAAAGAAAATTATGAGTGAGAGGGACTGTCGAAGAATCACCCACTTTTTTCCACGACGGTCGCGTTGCGTCCCTCCATTGGCAGCTAATGGTCAAAGCCTCGGTGCAAGCCCCAAGGCCAGGCACTAATATGACTGGCATTGAATGCCATTGAATGGCTGTACCGACATCTGTGACAACTGAATGCAAGGAATCCTTTGCTTGCAAAGTGCAAAATGTTGACTGCCTGCCTACAGACTGCCTGACTGCCTGCCAACATTCTCTTTCGTGGATTTGCAAGAGCTTCTTTTGTTTTCTCCAAATCAGAAAGAAACTGGAAACACACCAAACCACAGGCGCAGAAGAATCGGAGCGTTTTCAGAAAGGGTCGTGCTCAGTGCGCTCAGTGCACACCCATCTATAAAGTGTATATGACAGAACATGTACACTGTACACAAACCAACACAATCAATTGGAACCATCTTCCGCATGCTTAAACCTAGGATCTAAGATCTCTAAAACAAGAAAACTTGAACTTGATGATAAGTTTCCTTTCGCATGTGCAGCACAACCGGCACGCTCCGAAATCTGTCATCTAACATTGCCGTGGTAGGGGTTTGGCAGTCTCCATGTTCGGTTTTTAGTTTTATTGAATTAGAAGGCACGCCGCAGATGGTCGCAAGGTTTCCACAATCTCAGAGGAGTCAGGGACTCAGCTCAGGTCAGAGGCAAAAACACAATCACCTGAATTGAACCTGACTGAGACGCCATCAACATTGCCCTTCCCTGATCCTGAGTTTGAATCCTAGGCTGTGCACTGTACCCTTGCACCAACCGCTATTAAAGTGAGGGAGTGTGTGTAAGTGTCAGTCACTAAGTCACTAGGTGTGGCCAAGCGCAGAGGCATCACATGCAGCCGCGCAGGGCGATTACTCAGGATGATCATCTAATTGATCGAATTTTCTCACCTCAGATCCTCAGAGGTCACGAATCACGAATGATCACCTCATCAAGTGCTTTGCTGAAGTCAAAGCCTTTTTCTTTTCCTTTTCGATCTTTTTCTGCTCCTTCGTCAGATTGGGGAGGGCCGTTTGAAAGCCGACTCCCTCCATCCGAGCCTTCCTCTCGTCCACAGCTGCAGCAAAACCAAACAGTCTCTGCTCGACTTGCTCATCCGGCATGCGAACACCGTGTTTCTCCGCTTTGGGATTTTGCTTGACCAGTGCAATCTCCTTCTCCGAATGTTCGATAGCCCAAGCAAGAGCAGATTCCTTCAGAACCAACCTGGATTGGCAGCCAGCAGCGTGCCGTGTGAAATCATTTGTTGAAATGTTTTAAGGAAGCGAACTGACAACTGCAAAACTAGATTCAACTCAAATCTATTTCACTACACTTTTAACATTTGACTGAAGTTTAATTGAATGTGATGTGATCCTTGGTCCTTGAACCAAAAAGAACCAAATGAATGAACCCAAAAGCTGACTGCACACGAGATGAGTTTCGTTTTGATCCTCAACTCTGCTTTCGATGTCATCATGTGCTCATATTGCTCTTCAGACTCCGCTATTCCAGCAGGAACCAGATCAAGATTCTTAGTCACTACCTGGATGGATGATGAACGTGGGTGCGACGGGCGGAAAAGTCTGAAACTGTAGACAAGATACAGAAAAGATCAGTGTCGATGTTTGTTTGTTTTGAATATTTTTGAAGGCTTTTTACTAAACTCCCCCAGACCCCGGATTCTTCAATTTGACAACTGCCGCGCAGCAGCAACAACAACAACAACAATGCGACAGCAACAGCAAGACAATTAACAAATGCTGGACCACATCTGCCTGCATGCATCGACGAATCCACAATTGCACCACTAGCGCCACACCAAAACAGGAAACATGGAAACACCAAAGGGCCAAAAGGAATCAGAACTTCAGAACAACACGTCGTCACGTCATGCCCTGAACAATGCTATCGGGACCGGTGAACACAAACAGTGCGACAATATGCATCGTTTCACAGGTATAGGTTGCACAGCTGAAGATTCTCCAAGTCACGACATCCACAATCATAGTCGAATCTCCCATATTCGCATGGTCAGCCTTCGACACACCAGGAACTACCCATGCTGGGTGCACCATCGACGTGGTTGGGCTTGGCTGCGGCGGAGGGTTGCAATAGAACTTCATCCCAAACAAAGTGCAAATGTGGATCGAGTTGTTCGAGACCTTCGTGGTAGACACTGGGCCCAGGAAGGGCAAGTGAAGCGCTCCTTTGCCCACATTTGGTGGAAGGTTAGTCACCCTTGACAAATTGTTGATGCCCTCCTCCTTGCAAGCATCTAGATTGGTCAAGTAAAGTCGACTTGATTGCACCTTCTTGGCGACCTTGGAGATTTTACCCTTGTCACCCGAAGCAATGGCCTCGGACTCCTCCGCAGCATCACCAAAGTTCCATTGAACTGCCTTCTCTGTGAATTTGCGGTCTTCTGCGAACCAGTCCTGACAGGGAAATCTAAAAATTAATGCAGGAGATATATAATATACAATAATGCATCCATTTAAGCGGCATCAGATTAGGTTAGGCCTGTTTAGAAGATGGCATTCCTCAAGTACATCTACCTCATCCGTGACTCAGGGACCACCGTGTACGCTGTGTATGTCAAACGGCTTGCTGATTGAGCTTGGCTGCACATTGAGCGGCAGTAAAAGCGCACTAAATTGAACATCAACTCAATCAAGTCTGAATCCCTAAACCACAGTCCCAGAGAAAAAGCTCAATCTTCATCTCAAGCACTTTGATCTCAGTGGAACTGATGTGGTTTGGTTCCTCATCGAACAAATCCGTGTAGGTCTGCGATTGCTCCACCAACTTCATGCCGGACAAGCTCAGCTCACGCAGGCTCATCCGACGGATGATAACTTTCTCTTTGCCGCCTTCCTCCTCTGCATCTTCATCTGCATCATCTGCCGTCGCTG